GAAGAAACAGCTTCTCCTCTCGCCCAGCGATTCCCAACAGGTTCATCCGTTAGTGGTGTAGAGAGTGGGGCCTCTCCTGCTCATTGCAGACTATTCTGATAGATTCACTGTTAGAGTCTGAGGAAGAGGAAGAAGAAGAGAAAGAGGAAGAAAGTGGGAGGGGGAGGGGGCTTTGAAGTTTCAAGGTAGCCTAGTGAGGTTTCCCAGGCAGAGTGTGAGAATCGGCCTGCTTTGAAGGGGTGGAAGGGTCTTCAGGAGGGGAAGGGAGCAGGAGGGCGACCCAGTCCTTGACCCCGTAAGGTGGTGATCGGAGAAATGAGCTGGAGGGTCTTAGCCATTTCCTCCATCTTGCCTTCAAACAGCAAGAGCCACCCTGAGAGTGGAGCCAGAAGCTCCACTGAAAGTGAGGGACAGAGAAGTTTCCAGTTTGGATTCAGCTCTTGACATGGGCAGAGGTTTCTCCCTCAACTTTGGTGCAATGCTATTTAGAGTTCATACTGTCTACTGGGTTTCAGTGAAAGAACTGCACTTCACAGGATTGCCTTGAGTTTGAACCCAGAAGGAAAGAGGGAAGGGGCTGGCTCACAAATGTATATCTTGGTTCCTCCCAAAGACTGCTTGCCTGGGGAGTCTGGCCTTGAGATAAGCATCTCCACTTCTCTCACCTCAATTTCTTGGATTGGCCCACATTCCCTGGTCCCCTCCTCTTGCTGCTGCTGCTGCTGCTCCTCCTCCTCTTCCTCCTCTGATTTATCTTCTGGAGACCACCCAGCAGCCCTTGAGAATGCGCACCCAAAGCAGCCATCTTGCTCACTCCCAGCACTGTGTCAACCTTATCAGCTTCTGGCAATAGTCCGTGGATGCATAGACCTACATAGCCATATTTACGTATGTCTGCTGTGAACTGGCACTCTGCGTGGGGCCAAACTGAACATTTTTGTATCATGTCTAGTGATGCTGTGCACAGTCAGGTTTTACTCCAGTGTTAGTTTGTGCAGTCCTGACAGACAGCTTTGCTATGTGTGATGACCTTTGATTTGGCCCTCAGTGGCTTCAACAAAAGAAGTGGATTCATTGTAATTCCCTGAAAGACACTAGTTTACTCAATGTCATGCTAGAGTTAATTCCACATATAACTGAGATAAACTTCCTTGTCTTTCAAATTCCCCATGTGGGGAATAAGGAAATCAGTTTATCTCTGCTCACTATCAGATTATCAGCCTTTCAGGTTAAACTGAGGCTTATATTCAAGTCTGTGTTATGAAACATGCTAATGTTCTATGAAAACACAGTTCAGAATGATAATGAAAGACCTTTTGACCTTTTTGTCTCTGTTGCTATACATTCACCGGGGTGCTTATTGAAGATCAAGGCATTCTCACATTTATATTTGAAGCAGTTCTGTTAGCAGCACAAGTGCCAGAGTTGCTGCATACGCATTACGAGTACCAGGGCTTCCCTGCATACATTATTCACTCTTGTTCTCATGCTTAGAAATAGAAGTGCAGGAACTGAGGACTGTGCATAGCAATGTTAGTGTGGGCCACCTTTGGGATGCAGGAGGAATCCGTGTTGGGGGTGGGAATCCATCAGACTCCCTGGGCTCAGCTCCCCAACCTCCAGGCTACTTTGTCGAGGCTGTGAGTCAGAATTCCTGATGAGCACACCCAGGTTCACATGGCGCTCGCTCACCAGGAAGCAAAGCACCGTTTCCCTTCCGCGCCACATGTAGCAGTCTTTGTGCCACTGTATGAGATGTGGAAGAAGGTTGACAGTTGCACAACCTGCATTCCATGATTGTTTGTGGACTCCCTCTCATCTCAGCTCACTTTCTAAGACTTGGTGAGCGTGAGAAGAAGTCTGCCAATGCTAGAGGGGTAGATGCAGCTCTGAGCACCATGGTGGTGGGTCCTAGTCTAACCAGCAATGTTGAGCAAGGCTGTGGATGGAAGAAAAGGCTTGATCGTGCTTGACAGGGTGTGTGTGGGTGTGTTTTATTCGAGTTGTTGCCCCCATCAGAGATGGATGCCGAGCTCTGGTCACCTACATTTCAGTGGCAGCTCCAGGTCTGAAGCACCCTTGGGCAAGGCCCCCTGGATGGTCTACCTTCTCACCGCAAACATCTATCGCTCCTTCTCCACTTTCCCATCACCGCTACTGCTCACTTCCACTCTCTTCTGGGGTGTGGGGCCTCCATGTCAAACCATGCCCACCTTTGACCCTGACCTTTATACATTCCCACACCTGGTAACAGCCCTTGCAGTAGTTGCTGTATTGGAATGAGTAACCAGAAGACATTATGATTCAGAGTTGGTATGAACTATTCCCAGCATTCAGCAAAAGCTTTTTGGGTAGCTATAAAAGCACCAGATGTGTGTTAAGCTTAATTGCTGTGAGAAGCAAGGGGCCTTGACTACCAGCTGCTATGAATGTCATGCCTCATCCTTGAGAGAAGGTTTATATACCCTTTTGCTGAAGTTAATTGGGGTATCTGGACTTTCCCTCACCCTTCTCCTCTTGTCTCCCAGGAAGGGTGTATGGGAAGCATCTGGAGTTCCACATAGAGAACTTTGGGTGTGAAAATCCATTGGATCCCCTGGACTCAGCTCCCTTGTCATGGCCCTGAGTCCGAATTCCTGGCAAACACTCCCAGCCTTCATGGAACACTCACCAAGAACTGCCCCTAGTGCTGCACAAGCAGCACACTTCTTTCACACCGCACACAGCATCTTTGTGCTGTTGTACCTGATGTAGAAGAAGGTTTCTTCATGTGCGGGTCAACCGCTGAGCCAGCTGTGTCCCTCCTCCACACCACCTTCAGCAGCTGTTTGGACTGCCGTACTTGACATGAAGGAAAGCTGCTAGTTGTGCAACCTTTCTTCCATGAGTGCTTGCAGACTTCCTCTCAGCTCAACTTGCTTTCTTATGCTGGACTGAGTATAAGAGGAAGCCTGTGATTGCTAGAGGGATAGATTCCACCAGGTTTCACCCCCAACCCTAGTTCTCTCTCCCTCTTCCTGAGAGTCCAGAGACAATCCCAGAATTCAGAACACAGGCAAGGGCCAGGGACCCATGAGTGGCAGCTTCACTGTCATTCTTGTCTCGGGATGGAGTGGGAACCTTCCAGTGGCAGAATCAGAATCAGCAGGAGAGGCTGCTGAACTCTGCCTAGAAAAGCTAGTTCAGCCTGGAGCGAACAGCTGGAACTGTTCTAAGATGGGCAAGCACCTGAATATACCATTGGTTTCCATCCGCATATGGTAAGCTGGTTTCCTTTTACTGTTAGCATGATTGGTGACCCGTGGGAGGAACATGCGTGTTTTGGGGATCCATCCCAGCAGAGAAAGAAGAAGGTAACAGCAAGGGAATTAACAATGTTCAAGTCATTATCCTAGCTAGCCTGAGGCTGTTGGGTCTAAAGGCTTTGGTGAAAAGGGAGAGCCCCACGCAATACTGGGGTCTCTGAGGAATTGGGCAGGGAAGTCTGAGTGTAACCTGGGCAGAAGAAGCTGAGCATCTTCCATGAATCCTGGATGAGGGGCAAGCAGGATACCTGGGGGAAATGTAGTGACCTGGATGCGAGGCCTGAGTAGAAAGACCCACAGCTAGGGCAGGAAAAGTGTATGTATGAAGCAGCAAAGTGGTTAAGAATGGTTAAATCAGCCAATAGGTGAGGCAGCGTGGCGTGCCATGCGAGGGTTAAACTGTGTTTACTGATCGCTTCTGAAACAGAGCAAGAGAGGAACTGTATAATGTTAATGGCAAGGAACGCTGTTCTTTGACTTTCTGCTTAGTGCAAGGAGGACAAAGGCTACACCCTGGAAGCAACTTCTCCATCATGTTAGGATGCCCCATAACTAAAGGGATGCCTGTAAGCTTTTCTTTAGCTTGCACATTGACAACCTGCATTCATAATCCAACTTTTTACCAACAAACTCTACGGCATCTTTCACACAAGTCGTTTTGTTTCTTTCTAAATATCCTTGAGTCCAATGTGAGCTGGGGTAATATAGTATCCATACAATGTAGAGAAAAGGACTTTCTTCTTGGATTGTCTAGGTTGGAGGTTCTCAAACTGTGATCCATGGGATTGCCTGCAGGTGGACCAAGGAAAGGTTGGCCAACTCGGTATTTCCAAATTTAGAATCAAGACAAACGCTGAACCTGACAAGAGGCTTTGTAAGGGAGCAGAACCTTTCCAAGCTCAAGGATTGAATTCCATTTTGAGAAGCTTTCAAAGGCTGCATTACAGTTGTGGGGAGGGCCGAAAGTAAAAGGGCCAGGACCCAACCCAAAAGCAAAATAACACCATCTTTTAGTCTGAAGCTCTTTTTCTCCTAAGCTTTAGGAGAGACATTTCAATCCTTTAACATGCAGGAAGGTTACACAAAACCGGTTAAATGACCTGAGCTTGGGGAAAAGGGGGTCAGGGCCAGATAAGGGATATGGCTTTCTGGAGAACCCCAAAAGGCTGGTCTGGGACTCTCAAAAGACCACATTTGGCCTCTGAGCCTGAGATTCTTCAGTGCAGAGGTAAAGCTAACAAACATTGTGCCTGTCTTCACAGAACTTTGCTGGGGAAAAAACCAAAAGCTAAAACAAAGCAGGCATGCCCATCACATTAGAAAGGCAAGACTCTCAGTTATTAAAACATGAATTATGGATACATTTTGTTTTGGAGAAGAAAAGAATTTTATTAAGCAGCCCACTAAGACCCCACAGCACTTTTATCATGATCCAAAAAGAGGAAACAAAGTTTGAAAATAGTTGGCCTAGGTTATCCCTTTGAAGTAGATGATGAGATGAATCAACACATGGTGCCACTGTGAAAAGGGAACCTTGGCAGGCAGAGGCCAAGACCGAAGTCCTTCCCACTAGCCCATACAGGAGCTGAACAGCAACCAAAAACACTGAGGCTCTTAGATGAAGAATCTGGATAGACGTCCGGCAATAGCAACACAAAAATAAATTTGTACGAGTTTGGGAGGAACGATACTCACTTTGCTTTGTGCGTTTCCGTAGTCAATCCCTAGCGTGGACATGGCCTTGACAATTGCCAGAATGGATTGCAGCGTGTTGCTGTAGATCACAGACCGATACTCTCTGCATTCCTGATCTGTGTAGCCATCTTTATGGATGATCCTGAGAAGCCAAAAAGGTGACAATTCTTAGCAGACTTTTTTTTAAAAGGGAGATCTGGCAGGGCTCAAAGATTTGCTGCCCCTAATTGCAGGGGGATGGGGGTGGGGGGAGACCACAGGAGAGAAGTCTGGAGAAAGAGGCACCCTACAAGCTCCCTTGCTTCTCCACTTCTCTCTGCCAGTTAAGAAACAAGGCATGAAGGAAATGCCCACCCTGTTTCCAAGCAGGTTGCTACCCCAACAGACTATCAAAGCTCTGTTAGTGAGCTGTCAGGCACCTTGTTCTGTTGGGAACAGGGTGCGTCCTTCTGCGCTCCATACGTCCAAGTAGTTTTACTGTAATTTCAGCAGCAATGACGACAGCAGGGATCAGGGGGCTGCATATATAGCCCACCCTGTACAGCAATCTAGGCATGTGGCTTTTTGGGGTTCTTACTCCCAGTGCATGCAAGAGAGAATCAGTCATACTGGAGGTAGGGTGTCCCTTTACCCCCTTCTTCCCCCTTGGACCTCTGGTGGGTCTTTTCCCTTGTCAGTAGCAGCAGGGAACAGGGAGTGGGGTAAGGACAAGGCACATGGACAAACGCAACCTGTCCCCTGAGGAGACCTTGAAAGCCCAGGGGAAGGGCGTTGCTCTCACCCCTGTTCACCATCACTGCACCTGCAGCAGGGACAAGGAGCGGGGGGGCCCCCTCAGCCCAGCTCGCGAGGAGGCCTGCAAGGTGCGATGAGGTCAGGCTGCTGCTGCTGGAGGTGGCAGAACGGCCTTGCCCACAAGCAAAGCCCTTTTCTCAGCATTGGCGGTGGCCAGCCCAGGTTCTGCCAGAGGCAGCAAATCGGCCAGCCGGAGGGGCTTCTGCTGACATCGGCAAGCCTCAGGCGGCCTGATGCCCACAGAGTGGGCTGAATCTGGGGCACCTGCTGCCAGCACTGGCCATTGCTCAAGATGGCTGATGCCGACGGAGCAGGCTTGCTTCTGCACAAAGCCTGCTGCAGGTGCACACCCACTCTGCCGGCATTGGCACACAAGCTGCCTCCGACAGCTGCCCACACGTGCCACTGAGACAGTTTGGAGGCAGCAGTCGGGTATATTTGCCTGGATTGCCATTTGGGCTACTGTGGAAGATCCCCTACCGCCTCCGCTGGGATGACATGGCAAACCCCAGGGTGCCTGCCAAGCCCTACCATGAGCCCTGGGATGTTGGGGAGGCTTGTAAACCACCCCAAATGACCTATGATAGGATTGCTGGACATACCAGCCTGCCTACCCCCACCTGTGGTTTATAACTTGGGGGGCTGGCATATCATGCAAACCCAGAATAGCTAAGCAACAGAAAAATATCCTTGGAATACAGAAGAGTGGCTGTCTGCTTTCCATCTGTCTTTAGGAATGCAATCCTACGAGGATGCTCAGAACTTGGGATTCTGGCACCCTACGCAGGGAAGGCATATGGCACTTCTGAATAGAAGACAAGGAGGCTGAAGTGCTACCAGGTTTCCTGCTCTAGTCATCCCCCAGAGTCCCCCCAAAGCCCTCCTCCCAGGTTGCTTTTATACGGGGGAGTGGGGGAATCTAAGCACAAATTCCCAGCTGTTTGATAAGAGCAATTTCCCAGCCTTGTAATCCAAAAGTCATAAGGTTGCTTTGTCCATGAAATCCAAAAGTCACGCGCTTTGCCCGTGAGCAACCCTTCAGTTCAGGCATCCTAAGCCAAGCACCCAGTAATATGTTGGACAAAATATCTAGCTGTAAACTTGCCATATGTACCACTGTCATTTCTATTTTAATGTATATGTTGGCAGTAGAATGTTGATTTATTTGATTCCTTTCCATTCTTTTGTATTACACTTAACAAGCAGATTTGTCTTCCAAATGTGACATGAATATTGATACACGTACTTCATTTGTTTCACAATAGTGCTCTTCCCTGATTCTCCAGCTCCTGTAGACAAGGGAAATACACAAATGTGACAGATGCATATACTGCTCAGGGTTAATGTAATCAAAGTTGCGTGTGGCGGGGGAGAGGGGGAGACCAAGAGGGGTAATAACAGGACAAGGAATGTAAATGATGAAGGGTCATACTCATCACAGGTGGCTTTATTTGCTTTTTTCCCTTTTAAAGCAGGCTTTGATTGGAAAACGGAATGAAAATGTTTGAATAATGACACTTCAACATTACATTTTATTCACGGATGTTGGTCCCACAAAAATTATTTCATTTATGTTGGACCAACAGTGATCAGACTGATTGATTGATAATACATATATTTAATGGAAAAGTAACTGCTAGTAGAATATGAAAGGATCATTTTTCAAAATTTGAATTTCTATATATATATAAACAAAGATCAGAATTTCTTAAGCACCTGAGGGAATATAAATCAGGAAAAACACACAAACAGGTCCATAAATGACTGTTGTTGTTGTTGTTATTTATTACATTTCTATACCACCCAATAGCCAAATCTTCCTGAATGGCTCACACTGTAAAACACAGCACAATGATACATAATTCTTTAAAAAATTTACTACAGCACGGAATCAAAGCAAAAAGTAGCTGCATATGAAAACCTAAGCACGTAACACATTTCAAAAGACATTGAAGCACTAAAAGGTCTTTCCTTGGCACCAGAAGGATTGCAACTTGGGCTCAGGTGTGGGAAGGGCATAACCCAAACAGGATACTACAATACATTAGAAAATGGAATCGCAACGTATAAAATAGAATGGTATTGTATTGATTAGCCATGCCGTCTGGGGTGCAGCTCTGTGAGAATTCTGGTTTTGCACTCAAAAGCTGTGAATATGCCCAGACTTGAAGCCTCAAACCTGACTGCAAGCCAGCACGCACCAACGTTGTTCACAAACGTCTGGATGTGTGCTCATGAGTGATTTCCAAAACTTTCCCATTTTGTGCAACATTTCCCCTGCAGGCTAAATGCCCCATTTTAGTCTATGAGAAGTTGCCCAAATTTCACATCTGATCACTGTTTGATTTCCACAGTTTTCCCATTTTCACAGAGAAGCAGCAATCACAAACACAAACAGGAATCTGGGACAAAATGAGTAGCAAGGCAATGGTCAGTCCTGAATATCACTCTTTTGCCCGTCTTGGATGCCACTCACACACGCCCAGCAGACCCCCTGGCTATGCCCCCTGGTGGTGATGCATTCAGCTTCAGCCTGAAGAGTCCCATGTGGTGCTCTGCAACAGGTCACAGGGTTGGACTTGATGGCCTTCATGGCCCCTTCCAACTCTACTACTCTATGATTCTATGGTTCATCTATGCATTTTATTTATTTATTTATTTATTTTTCGATTTATATCCTGCCTTTTTCCTACAAAGGGCACAAGGCAGCTTACATCATTCTCCTCCTCCATCTTATCCCCACAACAACAACCCTGTGAGGTAGGTTGGGCTGAGAGTCTGTGACTGGCCCAAAGTCACCCAGTTGACTCCATGGCTGAGCGGGGACTAGAACCCGAATCGCCTGAGTCCCAGTCCCAGGCTGTTAACCACTTTGCCACTGTGTGTAGTACAACTCAAAATATAGGTCATCAGAGATTAATGCTACAATCCTGCACATGTCTAACCTGGAAAAAGCCCCACTGTTTTCATCCAAGGAAACACGCTGAGCAGTCAGCAAGAAATTTAGCCAAAGCAAAGTTGTGAGGATGAACCTTCCACAAAATGGTTTCTACTCAAATGGCTAGGTAAATTTCATGAATGTTTGTTGGAACTTTTGTTTCTTTCCTGCCCAACGGAAACCCACTGAAAGTGTATACCAGTTCCTGGCTGTTTGTACCCCTTTGGCTCTGGTCCCATGCCTTGGAAGAAGGTAATAAAGTTGTGGATTAATTGAGAATAATTGCTTTATATTATTTCTCACATTTGATCATATGCAACACAATGCTAAGTATTTGCTCTTACAAAGTGATATAATGGAACATTGCAAGTGCTGGTCTATAGGATCAGAAACCTCAATAGCTTACTTTTACCACTCTCTTAAAATCATCTATACCTCTGAAGATGTAGATTAAGATTCACACATAAACTGTGGTAGCAGTTGTAGATCAGCATAAGATGGAGTGGTTAACCTAGCACTGCTAGGTTCCAGTCCTACAAAAGTGTCTTTAACATAATTACCAAGTTGCTGTTGCTTTAGGAAAATCTTTGCATCCTATTTAGTATCCGTTATAGTCAGTAAAAAGATAGTTGAATTATGCTAGGATTCAGAATGATTTGGTTGAGGAGCAGATGTATCTACAGCTTTTATGAAAGTAGCTGAGAAAGTCACCCAAGGGCCCTGGGAAAGTGTCCCAGAGATCCTAGGATGGCTGGCAAATGCCATCCAGGGACAGATAATGCACTCTAATCTGTGAAAGGGGAATCTGAAATCCAGTCCATGTAGCATCTGCGTATCACTATTAGCTCCATAAAGACCAGCCCCCAGGTTGTTGGGTAAGCGAGGAGACCCACCATCCTGGGCCAGCCAGTGCGAATTAGATAAGAATGAATGGCGGATATTGATGCTGGAGTTCTTGTGGAGAAAAGTCAGGCTTAAGAGCCTTGAGGAGACTAGGCAAAACTACCCTACATGGTGTTTTCTTGGGTACCACACTTCAAAGGAGAAAACCATGACATGATTCCTCCCATGGGCCTTTCTCAGATCAGCAAGTGATGCCAACCTGGGGTGAAGCAGAGCACTGGAGAAAGGAACAACTTGCCCACCTCACAGTGATTAGGTGTCAACAAAATAAATTCAAAATAAAGTATAAAATGGCTGGTGAGAAAAGGAGAAAAATGGAAGCTTCTTTTGGGTTGGAGTGGGGAGGAACTTTCAGGAAACGGAAGGACTAATTCTGCTCTTCCTAGAGTGCCACTTTGCACAGGTTGTCTGCTGGGCATATTGTGGACTGTTCGCACCACAACCAAGCCACTGTGGCTTGTTGCCAGTTGATTAGCATGAAATGTGCCCCTAGCTGTTTGGGGAAAGGTTGAGTATCTCTTTCTTTTCATATTCCTCCACTCAAATTATCAGCTTGCTGTGGTTTCTTCTTAACTTTTATTTGTTTATAGCATGCAAGTTTCCCTTATTCTGCAATTACATCATGCCAAACAAGCAAACATATGCAAAGCCTTATCTAAATCCACAGCTTGAGAAAGAGAGAAAGCATTAGGTGACAAATTCAGTGATTTGGTAAAGCTGGTTGAAATGGGCTTCTGCTGACTCCATATAAATGAGTTCCATGTTTGCATGTGTGGCTTGCAAATGCGAAGTCAGTCTCCAGCATCTCCTAAATGCATTTCTAAATAAACCAAAGCCACTCTTAAATGTCTTGGGCAAAAATGTTTTTCCTATAGAGCAGAAAGAACCCATGAGGACCATATGCAAAGTACAGGAAAGGCTGCAGGACTGTGGTAAAAATAACAAGCAAATAAGGCAACTGTATATGAAAGGCACAGCTGATTGCACTAAGGGCTAGATTAGTCAGTCCTAAATTGTGTGTCTGAGCACACAATTGTGTCATGACAACACTGTTGATCCACAGTTAGCAAGAAACAGTTAATTAAAGTCTCCCATGGGCCCATACATAAATATGAAAATAGTCTGAAAATACAGTTGGGAGGAATGGGTGTTTTGGGGGGCATCAAGGAAGTTGTCTGGGGACATATTGTTGTCATCCCCAGACTCAAGAGTCTGCCTACTATAACTCCAGATAATTCATAGCTCTGTTCTTACCAAAGAAGGCTAGGAAGTGATGGAGACTGGTTGGGTTCCTGGGGAGTGGAATTCCAGAGTTTGGTACAGAGATGGACAAATCTATCCACTCTGGTTTGTCTGTGTCTCTGTCGCCAAGCAAACTGGATTCCACTTCATTTCTCCATTTGTTAATGTGTCTGCTGTGGAGCTGAATGCTTTCTTCTTATCTCTTGTTCCAGAAGGTCAGGCTGAACCACAGAAATGACTATTGCATTTTCTGGAGCAATAAAGATTCAAAATGTTTATCACAGGTAAGTTTCCTTTCCTCGCTGCCAGGTGTCTTTTAATTTTGCAAAAGGGACTTTAAAAACAACAACAACAACAAATACATCTGTAAAAGACCCCTTTCATGTATATGGGACTGGAAGGAATACAGTGTGCTATTTTCACACAACCAGGGCTACTTGGCCACCAGGCGCCAATCCTTGTTTATGCTTTGTTGACTCGTCCATTGCTAAAGGAACAATGCTGACATCTGGTCCCTAACACAGTGGCAAAACAAGATCTGAGGATGTGATATTAATCCCTCTTTATGAAGCTCAGGGTAATCCTTGTGAGCTTTCTGCAGAATTAATTGGCCTTTGGATCATTCCTAGCCTATAATATCTTCTATACTATGCTATGAATTTAGCCATTAATATTGCTAAAAGCAAAATTTCAAGGGAATCTTTTAGTGCTTGTTGGCATTTTTTTCTGCTCTTTATCTAAAAAATATCTCTCAGGGTGGTTTACAATGCTCAGTAATAAAAAAGTCCTGCTCTCAGGCTTGAGATATAAAAGACATAAGACCAAAGGAAAAGGGACTGAGAAAGACAAGGAAGAAAGCAAACACAACCAGGTTTTCTTAGATACAGTGTCCTTAAAACTGTTCATCTACCTGCTTTCAAGTCTGATTACCTGAGTTTTCAGCTCATGTGAATGGACATGAGTGAGTATGATACTCCCATCCCCTTCAATGGAGTTGCTATAGGCTCCTGGTGAAATATGTCCATAGACATTTCTGGATTGTACTCATCAGCTTTTGAGATAAATATTGCACTGAATATTTTTACTCACAGTAATTTCTTTTGGCAAGTTGAAATTTGTATTTTCACCTCATTCTACCCTCTAAGTGTTGTTTGATTTGGTAAACAGCAAAATTTTTGGAATATTATAATATTATTCTGATTAGCATCTGGGGATTTTTACTATCAGTTGAAGGTACCCTTTAAAAACATTTTGCAAGTGCTAGAGAGAACTTTTAAAACTATCATATTAGGTCATTATCAGACAAGATGACAAAAATGTTCAGTATAATTATACAAATGCCTGCTTTAAAACCTAGGAACTTTCTCAATTAACTCCCCCAGGTTCTGAGTGTACGATAAGCAAGGGCAGCACAATCTCATTGCCATAGACAAATCTAGCCCCAAGGTTGGAGAACTCCTTTAATGTTGCTGCTGGGTCTCCACGCTCAGAGGGCTGCCACCCACAACTGGTGTGGGAAAAGAACTCTTCTGGCTGCTTCTCCAGGTCACTTATGTGACCTCAGGGAAGGGGCTGGGTGCTTTGGAGCTGCAGAGAAGGCTGGGCTGCCATCAGGTTGCATTGTATCTGGGCAGCGCGGGTTTCATCCCCTCCCTGCTGCTTGGAAGACCCTAGACCCCTTCCCCGAATTCTGTCATTGAGCAAAGAGCAGCACATTCATCTCAGTGTGCAATGGGTCTTATCCAACATTACAATACACCTTGCACAGACTCTGGTGTGCACATTCAAACAGTGCAACACGTTTGGTTGCAGCTGATTTCTATAGTGACCTGTAGTTGCATCCTACCACCCATTTACTCCAGAATGATGAAGTCCTGGGCTGCACACCACTGTGTGTGGGTTCACACACAATCCTGTGCTCAGCCCTTTGCAATGCAGGTGAGCACGCATGATTGTAGCACAACTGGAAGTTACACAAAATGCCTCCTATATGCACGGTCAGATGCTGAGCACACTCATCTGGATGTGCCCCTGCATCCAGGCTGTGTGCACAGGATCTGACCTGGCAAGCAAAACTAGACATTTCCCATGCTGGATTCTATGCAGAGATCTATTTCAGAGTGCTGATCAGGCTGTGATTTGTAGCACATACCTGTAAATAAAGATCACCATGTTTTCCAAAACTTCTCCCATTATACGCATCATTCATCCCACAGTTAAAATAGGCAGCATGGACATAAGTGAAAAAACAAACATGTGCATGTCTTTTGTCTTTAAAAATGTAAGCCATATCTGGATTAATGTGGATGAATGAGAATGGATTACTGTGAATGAAAAAAAATGTAAATTTATATTTACCCAATAACAGCAGCTTGACTGTCCTAGCATCTCTCACTGCATCTTCCTGGAGTCTTTTTTCAAGTTCCCGGGACCTCCTGGCTGATTCTTTAGACTCAGAGCTGACCCCACTGCCCATGTTGCGGAACAAATGTTTAATGTCTTGTCTCAGCAAAACAGTGTCTAACTGCACAGAGGTTGCAACTCTAAATTGGGCAGTGCAGCTTACAACCAAGCCTAGAATGTCCTAGTCTACCTCTGATCTGCAGCTTCTGCTTTCCCACTCAGCATTGGCTTCTGGTCTGTTGCGCATCCCGCAGGCAGCGCTGAAGGGATTTTGTTGATGCTTTGTTATGATGTCAGACATGTAAATGTGCCACCTTGCTCTTTCACCTTTTGGAAATCAGCTCTGGAAGCAGAGCAAAGAAGGAAATGGCTTTGTGAATCAAATGAGGAATACTTGTGGTCTGAAGCAGTTGCTTCAATCAGAATATGTAATCTGCCCTAAGTTAAGTGCTTCTGATGATTCCCATTCATCAAAATTGGAAGAATAAGTTACACCTTTAACTGAGCAGCAAAACTGGAGACATCCCCAGTTGAAAAAGAGCCTAAAGGCTCAACCCTATGCAAGAAAAGAATTCCTACAGCTCCCAGTTTTCCTTGGCCTGCCATGCTGGTTGGGGAATGCTGGGAATAGGCCCTTTTTTCAGGGGCGGGGGACTAAAGTGTGCCTGGTTACTGTAAATGATGCCCTATAAACCACTGTGGCATGGATGCTGCTGTACAAATGATGCACCGCTTAGCAAAGAGACAAAAGAAGGAAAAAGCACGGCATTTGTGTGAAAAGGAACCACCTCATCGGTCTCACGTGTGATTCCCAAACAAAAACGCTACTGGAACCTCATGGAAAGAAATAGCAGGGAACCTGTGCTCATACCAGGTTGTATCACACCGCTGTGCAGATGCCACAAGAGTAGCCATTGTGCCTTCACAGTGGAACTGAAATGTTTCCCTTGCCACCAATCCCTGCATGCTATGGAGGCTTTGCAAAGTAGTGCCATGCCCAGAAAAGACGTGGTTATGTTAGGCCATGCTACGTCATGCCATGCTATAATAAGCATATCTAGCCACTTTGCTGACCTTTCAGAATTATTAGGTAACCAGTAACCAGGTGAGACTGCAGCTCTCCCAGGCAACCATCCGAGAAAACAGCCATGAGCCCCACCCCTTAGACTTTGTCCTTGGAAGCACCCAAGCCATTCCCCCACCCCACCACAAGCAGGGAGGGCTGAGCATCAACCTGGAGGGAGCCAACAGCAGGCACGAATGTTCCTCTCCAAGGACATGGGCATCCTGATGAATAGGATTTCAATGATCTCATTACAGAATTTTCATCACAAGCTACCTTCCCCAATCTGCCGCCTTCCAGCTGTTTTGCCCTCCAATGGGTTAATAGAAACTGCAGTCCAAAACATCTGGTGAAGGTCGGGGAGGTGGGGAGAGAGACTTCTATGTTTCCTTTGGAGATTACTCAAGATTGTGTTTAAAGAAAACATGCATGATGTCTGTATGCAATCTGATAAGGCTGCCATTTCAGACTTAAGATGCACATGGTGGCTTGCAAGTGTTACATCTTTATTCAATCTGAAAAAATGGAAATCTAACATTACTTTGACTAGCGGATGATTCTGAAAGACAGAAGACTGTGGGGACAGTATTTTGCAGGATTCGACCCAGTAGTATTGAATGCCCAGCTTCATCCCAAAATCTGAATATTTTATTATTAAATCCTATGTATGTTTAAACAGGAAAAAGAGCTACAACACCCAGCTTGCTATGCTGAAGAAAACCTACATGTGACATTGCAATTAGCTTTGTTTTCTGTTACCATGAGGTTTGTTATTGCTGTTGTTAAAGGACGGACGAGTCTATTTCTTGTCCGTGCCATTGTTGCATGTGTTCTCTCAAGAATCAGTGTCATCCCATCTCCATGTTCATCTGCAATTTAAAAAGTCCACATATTCATCTTGAGATATTTATTTAAATAAACACCATTTTTTCTCAAAATCTACATTTCTAAGTGGAGCTACATTGGACTATTCAGAAAATACAGAAATCAGAAAATAATATGGGTACTTAACTGACTATAAGATTTAGTTTGGAGTCCAGCTGGGCAATTTGGGAAACAAAGCAATTTGCTTCTGTTCAATCTGGAGGTTATTTGATTTGACTTGTGGGTCAAATACCATCTCCCATGTATCCACTGGGCATCAGCTAGTTCAACATTCCTGATTCCTGGAGATCACAGAATATAGAACTACCCTGTGACATATTACATCAGAATCCTTGACCCAAACCCTGGGCTAGGAGAGCCCTGATAAAACCGTTCAACATGAATGTCATGAAGCTAGAGTGTCAGTCATGAAACGATATCCCCTGCTCTCCATCCACTCCCTCCCAAAAACGAGCTTTCCCTGTATGAATCACTGGAGAGAAATATATCTATCTGGGGGGGTAGTCTCTCTCTCTCTCTCTGTCCACCCAAATCTGGATTTCCTAATGAAGTTTCCGATTCAGCCAGCTTTGGAGAAGCCTCACTTTGAATGGGGCATCTCTCAGATCTGTCCAAATCAGCATTTGTTTGGAGATGTAGGTAAATGCCAAACAGTCTCCTAACACGTTCTGACATTCATCTGTCACTTCATATAGAAATTCCTGAATTCCTGTCAATTCCTTCGGATTGAATTCCTGAAGCAGCCTACTGCTGACTTCCATGGAGCTTCTGGTAATTGACCAGAGGCATCAATGAGATGGATGGTTGTTAGGATATAGACCTCTTCTATAAATGGGTCTGCAAACTCTATTCTGGCTAGGGATGTGGAAGAACCTTTATTAGGGCTGTGAATCTGACCGATTTCCTGGGCTCAGCCACCCAGACTCTGGTCCATACTGTTGCAGCCCTGAATCTGAGAGCCTGGTGAGAACACCCAGTGTTCACAGCTCCCCACCCTGTGCAAGCAGGGCCCCTTTCCACACCACATGCAGCAGGTGGCTGTGCTGCTGTCCCTGACACAGAAGAAGGTTCTTCACTCAGGGCTCACCAGGAATGGCGCCCCACAGGGTCACTGCCCAAGCTGCATCCCTCTTGCACCAGAAGCAACAACTTCCGTGGAGTCGCACTGATGCAGAGCATTGCCGATTGCACATTGTTTGTTCCATGGGCATTCGCAGACTTCCTTGGCTTGCTTTCTGTGACCAGGCTGAGCATGGGAGGAGGTCTCTGAATGTTACAGGAATGGATTCCTCTAGGTCTCACCTCAACCCTACTTCTGACATTAGATGTATGATTCATACATTCATTCATTCTTACATTTCTACTCCACACTTTTCATGGAAACCTCAGTGACTTACAAAATTCATCACAACAACCCTGTGAGGTTAGGCTGAAAGTCTGGAGCTACCTGAAGTTACCTAGTGAGCCCCATGGCTGAGCAGGGACTAGAACCCAGATCTCCTGAGTCCCAGTACAATCTTCAAACTGCAACACTACATTGGATTTCTTACTTAGTATTCAAGATACAGCATTTTGGGATTGTGTATTGTTTTAAAACTGTGCATACATCTATCAATACATTCTGAAAATTTGATAAATAAAAGAAGATTAGAACCGAATCACTTTCAACACTTAGCCACATGATGCAAGCGCATATCAAGAGATGGAATCAGAGCGCACTGAAGTGAAACCAAACTCCTGCTGTGAGATCTCACCTCCATCCTATTCTGGAAGGAATTCTCACTTGCATAGAATGGACTGGTTCCCAGGAATGAAGTATGGAGACAAGCTGAGAAAAGCATCAGCTCAGGAAGGGAAGGGAGGAGCTGGGTTCAGCTCTGCTGAAATCTGTAACTTGACTGTGGAGAGGGGCTGAGTTTACTTTCCTGGGCAAGAGGAACCCACGACTTCAACTTCAGCTTGGCTGTGATGGCTTAGGCATTTGCACCCACCACCCTGCCCCACTGGATTTTTGTAAAGTGCCTTATGTGAGGCTGGTCCAGAAGCTGCAGCTGGTGTACGATGCAGCCTCAAGGTTATTAAAAGGTCAGCTTTCAAAAACAACATTATACCTCTCCCCAAATATTTGCACCGGACAGCAAAATGCTCCCCAGGCCACTTTAAGGTTTTGCTGATCACACAACAAAGAGTGGGTGATCTGAGGGGCCACCTCAGGCCATATGCCTGCACCTGGTCTTCGCCATCCTGAGAAGGGGATCTCTAATCACACCACACACTTCAGAGGTTCACCTTGAGACTGGAGGACTTGCAACAGAGACTTCACCATGCACTCCTGACATTAGACAGGCTGCTCCAGTTTTGACTCTTAGACACCTGCTAAAGACCCACCTCTCTCTGCTGACTTTCCCTCCAGTATGACTCTGCCAGGACATTTATAGGTTTTTTTGCCACAGTATTATTGTGTTCACTGCTTTGATGATACCATTGCAAAATGGTAAGCAAACACACACACATGAAACGGCCATGCTTCAAAATAAAAAAGATGAAGAGCAAGAAGGAAAAAAAGAATTAGAGATAGTCCTTCCAATAGTTCTGGCAGTGGCAGTTTTCAGCATACCGTTTTTTAAAGTGCATCTCTAAAAAATAAAACAAAGCTGTTTAAATTCCTGAAGAGTTATTCCCACTGCCATGCACTAGATGGCGCTAAAATCTCCCGCAGAGAAGGCCTGATAGGAAGTGCCAAATGTTTCCAGGGGCAATGCACTGATGCAATTTTGAAAGATCCCAGATTGCTGTTGTAAAATACCTAGTTGCTATTTTTTTTACCATAATAATCTAAGTATCTTTCATATATTTAGACAGAAGAAAAGCCTACAGTTCCTGGCATGTCTTAGCCATGCTAACTGGAGCATGATGGAAATTGTAGGTCTTTTTTGTCTAAATGTTAGTAACAATGTGCCTTAAATCAAGCTGGTCATACTGATTCTTAAAACAAGTAGCATGTTCTTAAAAGACACACACATCTCTTTATGTTTTTAACTGTGAATGAGGCTGCCTCTTCAGGAAGGGAAAAGAAAACAATCATATAAGAGAAAGGAAAGCAACCACATCTTCGGGCTATGCGAGAATCTGAAAACCAACAAAAAGCTCAATCTAAGGTGATGATATACGATTTCCAGAAGGCAAGGATTTCCCCCTTTTACATCAGTTTTTCCTCCTCTGAAACTTGAAGGGAAGCGGTTTACTAGTTCACAGGGATGGGATTATTCCATCTTTCTTCACACTTATGCAAGTCCCATAACTGTAGAGAAAGTAACCCTACAGAAAGGACACAGGTCTATGCATGTTTAGACCGAAAAACAGCCTGCAGCCCTCAGTATGTTCCAGCCGGCCACACTGCAGCCAAAGCCCTCCACTGCAGATGCATTTGAGCTCCAGACTGGGAGGTTTACACACATCCAGTGCACGGAGTGAAGTGCGGCCTCAGCCCCTTCTCTGTTTGCATCTGTCTTGATGAAGCACCAAGGGGGAGAAGGAAGGAGGCTGGAACACTGTTTTGATACAGCAGAAGCTGCTGCTCCAAACTCCTCTGCACCCCCCCCCCCCGCATGCCCCCTTTCAACCCTCCCCCTCAAGGCGCAGCTGCATCCAGAGAGGTTCTTTCCATGCAGGCTTAGAGGGGGGTGTGGTGGGGTTTGGCCTGTGGAATCCCAGCCTTGAAGTCAGAGCCTTGAATAATCCTATGCCTGCCCAGACAATGTCAGGAGGCCATAGGATTGTGCCTTTAGGGTGCTATCCTATCACTTGCTGCCTTGTTGATTGGATGCCTGGGAACTTGGAAGCTTCTCAGTGCAGGATGGGAAGAGTGGTGGTGGTCTTTGCTTGCCCTAAACTGGCAGTTTGCTCATCCAGCGATGGAAGAGGAGAGAAAGAGGTTGAATAGGATAGCTCATATCTGGCCCCTCCCCGCTCTGCTCTCTGAACCCCTCCTGGTGTATCAGCCTTAAATGGTGGTTCTCAAGAAGGAGCGTCCCTTCCAATGAGGGGTGTTCCTCTAGAGTCACAGAACACGTTCTTATTTCAGTGGATCAAGCCTTGGTCGAGGGATGGCTTTTTGAGAGTTAATGATCAGATTTCACAAAGTATCTTGCCAACCCCTTTTTGATGTAGAAGGCTTCCAAAATTTCTTAAAGTTGTGCATTGAAATTCAGTGCAGCCACCTTTAAAGTACTACTGACTGTATGACCAGTTTGAGAAACATCATGTACTCCAAAGCTTGGCCTCCAAACATGGCGGTGAATACTCAGACTACAATTTTTCACTCCATCTTATGGATAGACATCTCCATCCTACCAGAAAAAAGTGTAAAAGTGAGAGCCAGTGTGGTGTAGTGGTTAAGAGCACGGGACTGGGACTCAGGCGATCTGGGTTCTAGTCCCCGCTCGGCCATGGAGCCAACTGGGTGACTTTGGGCCAGTCCCAGACTCTCAGCCCAACGTACCTCACAGGGTTGTTGTTGGGGGGAT